TATATATACACACACACCAAATATATAGAGAAATCCCACACAATCACAAGGAGAACATGCACACTCCATATACCGACAGTCTTGTAATACTTGAGAATGGTCTTGGACTTTTTGATGGTCCTGGTCCTGTCTCGGTCTCAGACATTAAGGACTTAGAATCTTATTTCAAGACCAGCCAAAACCACATCTATAGAAATATCACTAAATTGCCAGATAATTGTCCAATTTATTTGCTAACATCTTTGCTCTCATTGGATTTAAAACATATTGATATCTAATATCAATCTAATCCTGACTCATTGCTATTTATGTATTTTTATAAATAAATCATAAAGAATATATTTGTAAAACAACATCCAGGAAAATGCATACAGTAACTTGTAAATTCTGCAGTGCCCTCACTTTCAGAGATGGCGGGGACAACGTCAAACTTTTATCGTCACTAATGTCAGTGTAGCAAAATTCTGTCCTCGGCCCTCACAAAAATATTTTGTCAGTATTAGCTCTATATATGAAGTTAGCAACATGTGTATATAATACTATCTCTTAGGGCACTCTTTTTTTATTTTTATTTATTTTTTCTGGTCTTGTCTCGACCTGGTCTTGTGCAGGTAGTCTTGACCACAATGCTACAGAGAGATCTCAGGTCCAAACAGGGGATCAAACCCAGGATCTTTTTTTAACCTTTTCACTTCACTTAAATAATGACACGACTGTCTTTAGTCTTGTTTAAATTAGAGTTTACACTTTGTTTTTATGTAACAAACTTTGTTAGTATTTTTGTAAAGCACTGCAAGCCTATCATTACAAAGACGTTTAAATCTTGCCATTAGCAATATTTACCTGTTGCTCTATGGGTCATACTAGTCACCTAAGAGGCAGAGACAACCCAAAGCACAGGAGGGATAACAACACCTTTTATAGCTTTTTGTCTTTCTTTCTGGTTTTATGATACATATTCATTGGAATTGTTGTGTGTCCTTTAGAGAACATGTTCAAGCTAGGGTAGAGCTCATATTCTGCATCAGTGACTCGGGGGATTAGTTACACAGTCTTACTGCTCCTCTGCCTATTTCCAGCACTAATCATTTATGTGCTTCAGAGTCTTTGAAAACTTACTGGACATCTTTGGTATGCGAATGGGGCCACTGCTGGAGCCCTCCCCTCCTTCACTCAAGGCTTTGATCTCTATTAGGTAGTCCTCTCCAGAAGGGATTTGCAGTTCCACATTGGTCTTATTGGTTTCCAGTACTGTAGTTCGACCGTGCCAGTGCTGTCGATACACAACCTGGATGGGAGCAGGAATCCTGGGTTAAAAAACACAGAAAATACTCCAAAGCAGACGGTTTGAATGTGAAAAACCTGTGATGATGTTTGTCCCTRTTTTGAAAAGGTTTTGAGGTCAGAACGCCTCACAAGAACATCATTTGTCCCAATGACTCAAGAAAAATAACAGCCAGGACCTCGGGCGTGCATCTTTAACATTTAGTCATACATTTTTATTGCTATGAAATGCTCRATCCCTTTATGTATGAAGACAGCAGTACTTTTAAAATTAAAAAAGGAACTGTCTCACGGCATACACTTCTGCCTTAGCTAAATTAATAAATTGGTTTTGTCTGCAGCGCATGCACGTCTTTGCAACAAAGCCTCACACAAGTCTTATCTTTAAATGACCAGGGCTGCGTATCTCACAAGAATAAATAATTTGTGAAAAGCATTAACAAACGCAGTGATTTCTTCCACACAAAGTATGCAAAGTGGAAGAAATATGATTCATTATTGTTATGGTTAGAAGCAGCTGAATTCTCTCTGCGCCGTGGAGTTCTTCAGTTTATCACYCGAAACAGATCTTTTAATTTTGAAAGGCCAGACAGGGCCAATCCATATTGTAACACAGAGGTGCTGAGGTCTATCTTTCCACTGCAATGAGAAAGTCATTTGTTGAGATGACATCTGCTGAGCCTGTTTGTTTTCCCTAGCCCTGGACTTTCTAATTTTTCTCTGACAAACTCACCTTGTATCCTGTCACCTTGGACTCATTCTGCATCGCCTTGACTTGTTCCCACTTCAGAAGGATCTTAAAGTTTGTCAGGTTCCACTTAATGCCCCCAGGAGGACGACTTGGCGCTGCAAGATACAATTATATGAAACAAGGTTGACAAATGAATGAAAAAGTGTTGTCAATGCCGCTTTTAAACTATGCAATAATAATCAAATCAAAAAGAATTTGCATTTAATTTGATTTAGCTGATTTACCTTAAAAACAAAGTCACTGAAAAAGAAATCATGTATTGTGATTTATTAAAAAAATAATTTAACCTTTATTTTGCCAGTAATAATTCTATTGAAATTTGAATTTGTTTAAACTAGGAAGTCCTGCCAAGACAGCAGCTTAATAATTCCACATTAAAAACACAACATAATTAAAAACATGAACAGTTCAAAAATTTTGGCAAATAACATCAAAGCAGTATAATTGCCAGCAGCTTTTAGTAACAAGGGGTGTGCAAAAAATAAATTATAGTAAATGACTACATGAGCTGAATGTTTAAAAATATAATCCCTTTATATGAAATTGGTCTYGCAAATAAAAATGTCAATGTTACATTTTTTTGTACTGTCCAAAGGACTACCTGTGCTAAAATTTTCAAAACATATCACCCTTTAACTATAACAATGTTTAACTAGATACTGCTTAGTGGTAGCATATCCACTGCCTGGCCAAAAAAAAGTTGCCACCTGGATTTAACTAAGCAAACAGGTATGAGCCTCCTATTCAATAATTACTGCATGGGCGATTTCAGCTGGCAACAAGTTATTTAACCCCAACTGGTGCAATGAGTTGGTTCTTATTTCTTTAAAAAAAGATTCAATTTGCTAGGGAGCATAAAGATTGGACTCTGGKGCAATGGAAGAAGGACATGTGGTCTGATGYGTGCAAAAAAAAAAAAAAAACCCACAGACATCAGTAGCCTATTTAGAGTGATATTGAAACAGGCCACTTTCACAAGCACAATGTCATACCTACGCTGTCCAGGAAATTGCACTGTAGATGCTTTACAAATGTAAAAATYATCAAAAAAGACTGTAGCACAGAAACAGCTGCACCTAGCAGCCAGAAATGTGGAAAAAATATAGATGGGGCCAATCTACACTGTGCTAGCAAACAATTTTGTGATACACTCCACACAGTGATGTGCGAAGYTTTGGGCAGCTTTGTTAATTTTCCTGATTTAACTTTATAAATCATTGATTGTTTTGATTTTAAAAAATCAGTTAAAGGGGACCTATTATGCAAAATTCACTTTTTAAAGTTTTATTTTTTACTCAACTTTGGGAATGTACTTCTTTACAAAKCAGTCCTAGGACCAAAAAAATGCACCCAGGGGCATATTTACTGTAAGTAAATGTATTTTTAATGTATATTAACGACAAGTTTTACACTTCCGTCATTTTGTGATGTCACAAGCTGTACGACAACCCACCAGAACCTGCGTTCAGCCCCTRACCTAGCAAACCCCCGGGTGAGGCCCCAACTCCTCAGTATAAAAAGCCATCACGGTTGTTGTTGTGTAATGTGTAGCTCATCTTGCAACCAGCCTCCAATAGGGCAATGGGTAGAGTGTTGGACCAGAGAGTGGGAGACCACAATTTGAAACCGGCACAGACACAATTTAATTATTTATTTATTTTTGTTCATTATGAACACATTTTCTCAACTCAAATTGGGTTTGGTAAGTTCAGTTTACCTCAGTTTAGCTTGTTAATTTGTTGCACTAGCGCRGAGCTAATACATATAAGGATATATAACGTCAGGGCTAAAGCTAAAGCTAACAGGCTAAGCTGAGGTTCTTCTTCCATGAAGCAGCTCTGTTGTCCTCCATCTATATTTTCAGTTACAGGCTGAGTCATTTCTACCTTCTCCTCTCTGACAACGCGCTTTGGTTTTATGGAGGTAAATTTGTGTTTTTATGATTCAATCAAACAAAAAGCATCTTCAATCAAAAATAATAATTTCAATCAAAAATAATTTTTTCAACCAAACAAAAAAATACTATTTCAATCAAAAAATAATAAAAAAAAAACCTATCAAAACGTTTTTTTTTTTTTGCAAAACATAAACTTTTAGTTGAATCTCAAACTTTTGGTTGACGCTTTAAGTCTTTGGTTAACTTCCTAAATTTTTGGTTGAACGTGTGTCCACATGTGTGATYGGTTAATTGWASAGACTTAAAAGCATAATAGCATAKTAGGTGTKTTTTAAGTCTCTAAATMTAACCTATCACACATGAAAAGCCACCGACGCTGTTTTYTAGAACACCAGGAGACCACCAAGCCAATCTTTAGAATCCAGTGATCAGAGCCCGTCCAGGCATATATCCAGAACAGAGAAGAACAGGGGTCCCACCTTTGACATGTTCTCCCATGGAAGAAGAAAAAAACTTTGTTCCAAAAAATTATTATGAGACCAGCTAACCAAGTCCATAAAAACAAAAATATCCATAATTTCTGATTTCGATGAAAAACGTAGAGAAGGCTCCAAGCAGCAGAGCAGGGAAGATTAGGAAGGGCAGGAGAGAAGGAAAAAGTGTCTTACTCCTCCGAGAGCATAGCCTGGTTAAAACCAGACCCTGTCCTTCACTTTTCTTCATACAAGGGTCTGGACTTGATGCATAGAGAAGCCTTTCTTGCAGGAGGTGTGGCCTCTGCTGAAGCATGTGTTTGTGTGTRGCTGTGACGGAGGCTAAGCTAAGAAGCTAACCGGAAATCACYTGTMCTGTAAACAACCCTGCTGAGAGGAGAAATATACCGAGCCGAARGAGAAGACTGTAAATGAGAGCTGCTGCTTTGTCAGACAAATTTATTTTAATTTGGAAGCCTTATCAACACAGACTGGCTTCATTCACTTCCTCCACTGTCACTGCTAAACTAACTAGCAGACACTGTGCAGAAAATCGAAGTTGCAGGATAGTTAATATTTTTAAGCAAGTTTTTTTAAGCAAAATGCAGGATCTGAGCACTTTCAACAGAAACAAACACTCCCACTAACTTCTGACCAATCACACAGTAAGTTCTTATGTGGAGGGGGTAAAAAATTCGGCCAACAGGTTGTGACAAGAAGGGACCAAAGAGTAGATTCTGTGAAAAAAACGCCACAAATTTCYTCATGAAACTTTGGCAATCTGATCCGATTTTAGCAGTTCGACTGGAGCATACTGGGCACTTTAGCGTAACCACATTGTTGATGTGATATTTTATTCTTACCTTTTGACCTCAAAGTGGCTTATCTTCTATGTTCACAGGTGGTATAAACGACATATAAGTAATGGTACAGAGATTAAAGCCYCATCAAGAAATAAAATGTAAAAAGSACTATGAAAACTGATAGGCTGATTTAGAATAAAATATGTGATTATGTGTCTGTGCAGCATCTGACCAAAACAAGTGAAAGAAGCACACAAATCACAAATTGTGTTGCATGTTCAAACTCACGTGGTTTCCTGGTYGTGATGTTAATAGAGGGGCTGCAGGGTCCAAATCCAGCACTGTTTTGGGCTCTGACCGCGATCTGATAAAGTGTGCTGCCCTTTAAACCAGAGAGCAGAGCTGAGCTGTTGATAACCCTCACTCTGTCTGCTTCACTCTGCTCACTTCCCTCCTCCCAAAACAGAACCTGAAGCAAAGGAAAAAGAGTCACCATATGCAGGCAARTTTAATTCAGATTTTCAGTGACTTGTTTTTATCCTCCATGCATTTACTATAATCTATGGATGTATAAGAGCCCATTCAAATATATAATTTGGCTGTCTGTTACCAAAATATCTCATAACATTGTGTCTGGATGCTATCAATATCTAAGTAACTGGTCATTAGGAAGTCTGAAACCACATTTTTTGAAGCTTTTTTTTTTTAATAATCCTGTGTCTGACAGCAATCAGCAAAAACGGAGAATAGAAGTGACAAGTGTAAGGATTAGGAGCTTTAAAAGGAGATAATTTTTGACCCCAGAATGACAGAGGGAGACCAGACAGAAAATGTCAAACAGATGGCATGAGAGCAGGCACTTATTCAGTTGGCTGCATCACGCAGGTTCTCAGACATCTTGCTAAGGAAAGGCAGATTAGCAAAAAGGCCTGGGGTTGTTGATAACAGATGCATCTAGGGAGGGTTTTTTTTAACACCAGAAGCTCAATTATGGCAAGTTTTTGAAGCGTGTGGGAAAATGTCTCAAATACCTGAGCAGAAGATGTTCCCAGCATTTTATACCACCCCTGCTAAAAAAAATGAACTTGCTCAACAATCAAAGGAGATTAAAGCTGTCGTGTTGCATCTTTAGGTTTCACAGAGACAGTGGGACTGTATCTGGACAGAAATAATCTATTTGAGGAGTTTCAGTCAGGGTTTAGAGCTCATCATAGCACAGAAACAGCACTGGTGAAAGTTACTAATGATATTCTCATGGCCTCAGACAGTGGACTTGTGTCCTTACATATCTTGTTAGATCTCAGTGCTGCCTTTGATCACAATATTCTATTACAGAGGCTTAAAGTTGATATTAGGATTACAYGAACAGCTCTAAAATGGTTTGAGTCTTATTTAATTGATAGATTTCAGTTTATTAATGTTAATAATGAATGTTCTGCTTAGACCAGAGTTAGTCATGCAGTTTCTCAGGGTTCAGTGCTTGGACCAATCCTCTTTGCTTTGTATATGCTTCCAATGGGTAAAGTTATAAAAAGCATTTGGTAAATTTTCATTGTTATGCTGATGATACTCAGTAATATTTATCCATAAAACCTGATGAATCCAATAGGTTACCTAAACTAAAATCATGTCTTAAAGACATAAAAACCTGGATGACTCTGAATTTTCTGCWTCTAAACTCAGATAATGTCATTTTTGGACAATAAACTTTGCAGCTTTTCACTTCCTTTGGATGACATTAATCTGGTAATCTGGAAGGAGAGGRCATATTTCTCCAGTTTTACCTTCTCTCCATTGGCRCACTGTCAAATTCATTTTTGAAAAAAATATCTGACTTCCTGTAGGCCAAACGCTATTTCATCCTCAAATTTGAGCGTACCATCTTATACTGTAAGTATGGCCATATGCAAATGTTGTGAATTGACCACTGCGCCACCACTCTTCATCCCAATGGCTTCAGAATTGTTGTGTACAGTTTAGACCCTTTTAAAATACAAGAAAATYTTTATCACTAGCAGCTGCCAAACAGTGTGGCCAGAGCACCTTGGCGACATTGAACATGTCCCATGGCACAACTGCCATTTTAATCTTTAAGCTTCTCGAAACTTGGTACATATTTACAACTTGTGTAKATATYGACAACTACAAAGATCCAGGTGTGCTTGTTGTTGGCTCCTATTAGTGTTTTAAAAAAATCTCAAGACAGACAGGCGACCGCTGTAGCTCGATGTTCACCCAATCCGGATGGCTGCAGTGCATGACGGCCCTTTATTACTGCTTTTTGTTGTAATTTCATTTTTTATTCAATGAGGTTTTTTTTTAGATTTGGTCTTAAACATTTGACCAGCTGATGAACAGCCTATTTGAGTTCAACACTTGTTTGCAWTAAAATACTTACTCAGATGTTTTTATGTTTCACTCCCGTTTCTTCTTTTTGCACATCAAAGCTCTACTTAGAACCTTCTTATGATCCAACAGTGCAAAATGTGAATTCTTGCCATTTTTCAATTGATCTTAATATTTTGATCAGAATTGTGTTATTTGGGTATGTGCAGTTGTTTGTTTGCTCTCTGGGRGGCTTACACTTGTACACTTTGAAAACCCCTGATCTAAGCTGATTCTAATCCTTCCTCCCACCCTACGTATACTCTTGGCTCTCATTCTCTCATCAGTCTGTCCTTCTGTTAAATTGTTGTTTGTAGACCCCCTGTACTTGCTCAATTAGCCAGTTWAAAAATCTGCAATCTTTGTATTCTGTTGATACAATACGTTTATTYTGTCATTCTAAGGAATAATGTTTTTATTTTTGTGAATTGTACTAGTAAGACTACTGCTCTAACMTTTTGATAAAATACCTCGTATGCTATTATCTCGCTGTTGGATGTAGGAGGAATAGGTTCCCAGTACACTTCAATCTCAGCTGCAGACATAGCACGRGCCCATACGCCCAATGGTGTCTCAGAGGGCTCTACAGAGGATAGGTGAATTATGTATAGCAACAATTTATAACAAATTCATATCAGCACTATCATATTTTTTGCTGTTTGCATCACATAAACAACCTCACCTTGATCTGCAGAAAGCACTGTAACAACATGGCTGAACAGCCCCTCTCCCATGCTGTTGTAAACACCTACAGTCACTTCAAACTGGGACAGGGGGGRGATGCTGTCATTTCTGTAGATATATCTTGATGCATCTGGGGACGCGAGCACTGTCTGGATCCAGGTGCTGCTGCCAAGTGGGCGGAAAGCCACTACATAGCCAAAGTCTTCTCCGCTCTGCTGTTCCTCTGGAACTGGCTAAGATAAGAAAAAAAAATATATGCCTGTGATCAACATGTCTGTGAGCAGAAACTGAATTAGAAACTGTAAAGATATAAAACAGAGTTTTATGTCCAACAAATGTATGAYAACTCACAACAACATAGCCTCCTCAATCATTTGAATCTACTGGAGGCACTGTCACCAAAGTCCAGATTTATGTGCTCTAACTTGCAGTAGGGTTGTATCTTTGTTAAGATTTACGCTGCTCAGCAAGTCAGCAAGCAGCAAATCAGAAAGGTTCTACTTTTAATTAAAACTAGTTCCACAAAAGCTATGCCTCTGTAGGCACAGTGACTCTGCCAAAGTTCACTTTTAATCAAAGGGAGGCTACTCTGTCACAATGAATGTCCAAAAAAAATTAGCGACTCACCTCCCACGTAATGACGAGCTCTCCTCGAGCTCCCCCACCGCCACTCACATGAACCGGTGAAACCTTAGGAACTAAACATAAAAAAGAATCAAAGACTTGGCYTTAATTAAAGGAAAGCATGTCACTTTAAATGCAAAAGTGGTCAACTAAAATCATTTTGTGTTAGTAAATGCCAAATGTTTTAGTCATTTTGGAAAGCATTAAATAAGGTTATGTAAGATCTCAGCCTCACAGCTACTATGACATCAATTTTTAGGTTCATATGTGCCAATGACTCTGCTCTACAAATCTTCACCATATCTAGGTTGAGGAGTGTGTGTGCCTAAATGATACCAGGAGCTATTCTGTCAGAGTCATTTACCCAGAGTAGGGTCTCCCAAGGCAGGACAGTACTAGGTGACAGGCCAAACAAAGAGCTCAATGTCCCTCACCAGATCGTGTACGTGAGTGCTCGGTGATCAAGTCTTTACCCATGAGGCCCAGTCGGGCTCAACCTGGATGAACAACATGACTTTAAATCCTGTTAGTTCACCAACCTCAGGAAGGTCAAAACGAGTAAGGTGCAACWGCCAAAGGTGGGGGGACGTCGTGCTCAGACCCTGGCCTAATGAGGTTTGTTTTTGAGACATGAAATGTCAGCTCCACAGGTTGGTGTGCAGGGTTTCCCCCTGCAGGGTTTRATAAGGCTGGCYGGCCGCCAGGCTTTACATGCCTTCCCACCAGGTTTGTTCGTTTACTGAAGGATCCAGCATGCCGCTGCCGAACTGCCGAAATCGTGCCGAACTGTCGCAGTTTTATGACGAAAATTGTGTCACTTCTGTTCGCATTGTTGGCATTTCAGCATTTCTTGTCGCAACCCATGGGTTGAACTTTTCACCCCCCTCCACATGAGAACACATATGAACTGTATGGTGTGATTGGTCAGAAGTCCGTGGGAGTGTTTTTGTTTGTGCTGATAGCAGACGCTGCATTTGCTTAAACCACTCTCTTCAAAAAAAAAGGAAGAAAAAAGCGATCGCTTCCAGAGCCGACTGCTGTACCAGGAAGCAGCAATTTAAAAAGTTTTAGTCAAACGGCCAAAAACTCATCAGCGGGGATAAAACAGACATTTTTCACGGTGGAATCTGACTGATAAAAACTTTGGAGCTTAATCTGGGACCAGTTTGAGGATAAACAATGTCGAGCGAGCCGCGGACTTTTTTTTTTTTTTGGCATTGTACTCTCCCAGGAAGGAATCCCATGCAGTGACGTATGCTGCAACGGGAGGGGTTTCCCCAGGAGCTGGGCTCTGGGTGTCTCAGGAACTATGAAAGGTCTGTGSGAAAACYAACGCTGAACAACCACGTSACGGCGCGTCGACRGGTCYGCAGCCAAGRGACCATACTGRAGYCTTTAGWGTYGACGTTGCCTGTGAAGCATGTGCWAAAAAKAGCACTCCTCATCATTGAGCAGTGAAGCTAAAAAGCTATCATATTGCTCCTCAGCATGCAAAAAAGCAAGTCATAGTCATTTCACAAATCACCAAAAATGGTAACAGGAGGTACTGTTACAGCCGCAACTCATTGAATTGAGAAAAAAAGCACAGAGCTAGTTTACCCCTCCGACTCTCTGTCCGAGCTCTGCTCTCTCAGACACACATGCAACTTCCCCTACCACAACCAGCATCATGGAACATTAACTTTTTAGGACTTAAATATTCAGGATGATACCTTCTAGAGGAGCAAAACAAATTATATTCATAGTGATTGGGAAAGGCTTTTTATTGTTGTTCTATTATTTTATTTTATAACTGATATTTTAGTCCCCGAAGCAGTCAACCATCAGGGGAGAGACAAAAGTGTTACTGTTAAATGGGTACCAGGACATACTGGTATTAATGGTAACAAGAGAGCTGACTACCTTGCAAAAGCTGTCAGGCCCACTTCAAAGGACSAGAGCCTGTTGTAGGTATCTCAACAACAGTCTGTAGAACTGCCCTACAGGCCTGGATTAGACGCCAACACTGAATCTGCTGGAGGGAGCTGACAGATTGTAGACAGGCACAGGAACTGATAAACATTGTGTGTTGTGTGTTTAGAGATGCTCTTCTGCATACCTCTGTTGTAACGAGTGGTTATTTGAGTTACCGTTGCTGTTCTATCAGCTCGAACCAGTCTAGTCATTCTCCTCTGACTTCTGGCATCAACAAGGCATTTTCCCCCACAGAACTGCCGCTCACTGGATGTTTTTTCTTTTTCGGACCATTCTCTGTAAACCCTATGGCCATGTCTACATGCCTAAATGCATTGAGTTGCTACCATGTGATTGGCTGGTTCGACATTTGCGTTAATGAGCAGTTTGACAGGTGTATCCTGATGCATCTCAGTAATCCAGGTAGAAAAAAAATCAAAAAGAAAAAATAAGTAGGTCCTCTGGATGGGTTCTTCTTTAGTGAAACGTTTCATCTCTCCTCCAAGAGACTTCTTCAGTTTGATATGAGTTTCAGGTGAACTCAGCCTTATAATCACTGCCTCCACCTGGGCAAACAGGTTAGTCATGACCCTCTATGAACAATAGAGCTAATCAAGCCTATTGTTAGGCGATGGTCCTCTTTTGCATTTGACTAACCTGTTTGTCCATCAGGTGGAGGCAGGGCTTATGAGGCTGAGTTTCAACTGAAACTCATCAGACTGAAGAAGTCTCTTGGAGGAGAGACCAAACGTTTCACTTAAGAAGAACCCATCCAGAGGACCTACTTATGTTTTCTTTTTGATTTGGACAGAGGTACTTGATGAAGTGGCTGGTGTATGTTTTCCTATCCAAAGTAAGGACTTTAGCCTGTTAGYTTCAAATGTTGTAGTGGTGATAGCCTCTGATAGTGACGTGCTGTAACAGCCATGGTTCGGTTCTTGAGCAGCATGTTCTTGGTCCATCTTCAGCCGATCACTACCTGGTTAAGTAGCCACGTGTTTCTTTAAAATTGCAGCTTACTGTTAGTTTTTTCATAACTTCAGCTAGTATGTTTTGAAAAAAAAAAAACTTAAATCACTATTTTTTTTTAGAAATTTGTGGTTTTTCAGTTTTTTCTCTATTTGTTTGAAAGTGACATGTTTCTACTTTTGCCGTGGGATGTCATATATTTTTATTATCCACCTCTCCATTGTGTCAGTGAATAAGCACCAGGGGCTAAAGCATCCAGCTTTTAATAAAAGGCTCAGAACTACTACTGAAATCTAGCACACAGAAGAGTGTTTAAATTTTTGTTGACAACAGTATTATCCTCAGTTTATTGCGGCATTGAGTTACGCACCATATGCTGGCCCCATGTGTGAAACACAACAGGAAACTTGTTCCCCTGTGATTTAACCAGCAGGATGGAACTCTCTAAGCACCTCAAAGAAACTCCATGTCTCTGCCTCATGGCATGCCGTCTTCTGCTACTACAAATATTACTCAAAACTGTTTACAAGTTCATGGAACACAAGTCAGGACCATGTGAGATATCTTCAGAACCCACACACTTTCATTTTCACAATGTAATTAAAGCACTAGTACAAACAATACATTACTAAAGCTAGCGTTTCCTAAAGGAATGCATATTTCCACTGCCTTGCATGCACAAAGCTCTTGTGATTTGCTTGCATTCTGAGTATGTGTTGTAYATGACTGTCAGCTACAACCACATCAGCTCAACATCTGTAAAAATGAGTGGGATAGACTTATTTTTTGTTTGCTTAGGGCAGGTGGATGTCACAGTCATATTGTATTGGATAAACTCAACAGTTCTTTAGTTGTGAATGTACATTAGATGATAACTTTCTGAAAGTTTCATAACAATTGAGGAAGTGATTCATGAGATACTTTTTTAACAAATAAATAAGACTTACTACAATTTTTAATACAGTTAGTGGCGCTCAGAGTATTTGTTGGGAGTTACTCCCAGCTWTGAACACCCCTTCAATATTTGTAAAATCAACTTAACATTTTTTGAATAAGCTACAGTTGTTTAGCTGTGATGGCCTTCTTTAATGGTGTTGACTCCAAAWGCTAATCACTTGTAGGTGCACATCTAATAATTACTTTGTGAGAATTTCATTAAAATCTGTCCACTTGTTCGTGATATATGCTAACACACACACACACAGGCACACATGCACAGTATTGTACAACTATCTTTATGTGAACAATGCATTGTTTCCCATTCATTTCTACAGCCTAATCCTAAAACACCCAGCTTCTTTAAATTCCAGACCTCAATATAACCACAAATCCTATTTAAAACAGCAAAATAACTATTACAAAAACAGGGCTCTGGCACTAAAACCAATCCCCAGCACCTATACCATAGTAACCACACCCCCTACCCAACCGCAAAGCATCATGGGTCACCTACATAACATAGCACCAGATTCTACCAAAGTTAGACTAGTCCCCCCCAACTGATTTACCAGCACTATATTAACTTCAAAATATACATCTTAACCAGAAAATACTATAATACTAAGCCCAACTTCAGTGAACTGCAAACAGTCACTAGAAGGAATTCTTTTAAATATTCTAAACATTTCTTTTGATTAGATTAGGCCCATTCTACATACACCTATCAGACCACACCCCCAACCATTCCTGACCCCTTCCCTAACGCTCACTCTGCTCTGTCTATTCCTCCCTTCTCTGAACTCTCCTCRCTCTCTATGAAGCACAGCATATGACAAATACTCAATGTACTGGCTGAGTTCTATACTCAAYCAGTACACCTACACTCACCAGAAWATGCCAGCCATWTTCAACTACATATTACCAGTACACACAAATCAACAGGCTGTTTCCAATGGTCTCTRGGAACAGCCATCTCCACCATGCACTGCTCATGAGGATAGGACACAGTAGCCCAACACTGGACCTGATCTTGAGCKAMRGTGCACTTCCTAAGGGATTTMCCAACTCTGCGGAGCCATTGAGGGTGGGACCCTCAGTGTGAATACTCCCCTAACCTGACCCCTTACCCCATACCTAACCTCTTACCTAAACTGATTTCATACAGTACCTTAGTTCTAACCCTTACCCACCAACGCCATTTCCTCCCATGGGGACTAGGCTTAGGTCCTTGTAATTCACAGTTGGTCGGGTAGCGCCTTTTATGGCTGCATGACCCAGGCACCTGTTATCCCATGTTTGTTTGTATTGTCTTTCTCTGAATGGGTTGTCC